GCCTAGAACCCGACTAATACCAGTTAACAATTTAAAATTCTGAAGCCTGGACTCGACCAGATAACAACTCCAATTTCTGAAACCTGGACCCGACCAGATAACAATAAATGTCAATTCCAAGTTACTAAAGCCTAGACCCGACCAGATAATAGTTTAACTTCTCAAATTGCTTAAGCCTAGACCAGACCAGTCAACAGTTCAATCTTGGACCTAACCAATTAACAATTTAAAACTCTGAAGCCTGGACCCGACCAGATAACAACTTCAATTTCTAAAACTTGGACCCGACCAAATAACAGTGAATCTCAAATTTAGTTGCTAAAGCCTGGACCTGACCAGATATTAGTTTAACTTCTTCAATTGCAGAGCCTGGACCTAACTAGTTAACATTTCGAGTTACTAAAACCTGGACCCGACCAGATACCAGTTAACCCCAAGACCAAATTGCTGAAACCCGGACCTGACCAGATAAAAATCGACTCTATTCCTTCAAAAAATAAGTTATTGAAACCTGGACCCAACCAGATACCAGTTAACAGTTCAAGTTACTGAAACCCGGATCCAACCAGATAACAGTAAATCTTAATTTTAAGTTACTAAAGCTTGGATCCGACCTAATAATAGTTTAACTTCTTTAGTTACTGCAAAGCCTAGACCCGACCAGATAAATAGTTAGAGTTGCTGAAACCTGGACCCGACCAGATAACAATTAACCTCAAGTTTGAGCTGCGAAACTTGGAATCCGACCAGATAACAGCTAATTTCCTCTTCCCCAGTAGAGTTTGCAACTATCCCCAGTGAGTTGCTGTAAAGCCTAGAATTCGAACAAATAACAGTTAACTTCCTTATCCCTAGCAAGTTGGTGTGAAACCTGGAATTCAACCAGATAACAGCTGAACTTTCTTCTTCTATGATCAAGAGATAATTCCACAGTAGAGCAATGGACAACTAAAACTCCTGAACTCTAGTTTCCAAGTAGAAATCAACACTCTCCACATAGTATTATCAAACAAAGTCAATATTCCCTAGCGGAATTCCCATCAACAAAATAGGAATCCCCAGTGGAAGCATTTTAAACAAAGTTTGAAGATACCAAGCAATCCGGGATTGGACTTTCCGAAGCTCCCCATTATTTGTCAAGGATACACTTCAATAATATTCCACATTCATAACATCACATTACATACATGAAAAATGCATACAACACATCCTCATTTATTTTGAGAACATCATGCATACATTTGCATGCAACTAATCCCTTTTTCCTTGCAGGAAAAAGTTCAATCAACAACAAATCTCTTCTGGTTAGATTTATCTCTTCCAGTTAAAAACAGGCAAAGGACATCTATTATTTCAGTATAAATCAACCAGTGATTTATTCTGATACTTCTTCCAATTTCTACCAACAGTCACTATAGATTGCATCTGTATGCCCATCTCCGACAACTCTTCATAATTTCTCCAAATGGCATATCTAAGCCTATTCCTGATGCAATCAACACATCATTGAGTGCAAATTTCTAGGCACTTTAGTGTTCAATTATCTTCCACCTTCAAGTCACGAATGGAGGACTCGCCAATCTAACACTTCAGGTTTAAGAAGATTGAACAGTGGCAGATGTTGTACCCCAAAATTTTCCCTCTCATTTCTCAATACATTTTCCACAATATCTTCAATGGCTCAAGCTTGCACAAGGATTGACTAGGCCAAGACATCTCTTTAACACTGATACCCCAAAATTAGGGTTTAAACTTGCACAAGGACAATTGGATTTCTAATACTTCAAATGAATTTCATGGATCATTATGGACCTCCAAGAATGATCATGTCAAGTTTCAAATCTTGTACCACAAATTCTGCTCAGTCAATTGACCAGATGACCAAAAATCAGCGGTACTGATGAAAAGTCAACAGATACACCAAAAGTCAAACTTTGACTTTTTAATAAAAATCAAGTTTCAAAAATGATATTTCATAAAGACATGTCAAAATATGAAGATTGTTCATTAATAAATCAAAAAAAGTCAAATTTATCTTTGAAAATTCAAAATTCTAAGACTTAGAAAATTTTCTAAGTATTGGAAAGTTAACCCTTTTTCATGACTTTGTGCCAAATTTACACCATGATGCAAGATGATTCAAGGAAAACTTACAACATGAAAGTTGTATATCTCAATAAGATCAAAAACATTATAGGGCATAAATTTTTCTAGAAATTCTTGTATTTTGAGTTATAAATTCATGAAGTCATGACATTTTCATCTAACACTTAGAGAAATTTTCAACAGATTTTGGTCAGGATTGTATCCCAACTTCTTGGCATTTTTTCACATAGTTCCAAGATGATTTTGTCAAAATGATCAACATGAAAGTTATAGAGGATGTTTCAAGCTTTCCAAAACATCCAAGAGCATAAATTTATCATACTTGAGCTAGGAGATTCAAGGGCATGAAGTTAGGCATCCATTCTTGAATTGCATGTCATTTTATTGAAGAACACATAACAAAACCCTTATGCTATGTTGCATAATCTTGTGTTTCAGGCCTTTTTGATTGTAAATATCATCATAATTTAATGCTTACACTCACTCTTGAGCTATTATCCAAGTGTTTGAGCCATTGTCCAGAAGATCTTTCCATTTATGGCATAAAGTTACCATTGCTATTCTTGAAAAAGCAAAGTTTTTGGTACAAATTTGTCTTGAGCCCATATTTTGTTTGCTTATGATTTTGCTCCACCATAAATCATGGAAAGCAGACCCTCTAAACCATCAACTTTGGTACCTCATCTTGGGATTATAGAGTACTTGACATAGTTTGATTTTTGCAATCCAACCAAACTATAACATGCTATCTTGCAAACCTAATCAACTCATTTACATAAACCTATTGCCTATAAATAGAAGAAGCATTTGCAAGTTAAAGAGGTTAGAAAAATAGAGAGAAAAGCCAGAAGTTTTGTTGATAAACCCTTAAAATCTCATATTCACAAAAGCCATAACAGTCCACAAAGCTTCCACTCTTGAGTTTTCAAGTCCAAACTTTTGAACCTCTCATACTTTGCAAGTTCTATTAAAACATCTAAGCACCCAACATGCATCATATAGAAGTTATTCAAACTCAAGAACAAGCTTTTGTAACACCATTGTTTTTCCAAGTTCAAGAACAGTCAAGGCAGCAACTCAAGCTCAAAGCATAAATTCCAGCTGCAAGGTAAGTCTTCTTGACTTTAACCCTTCATTTCAAGCATAATTAATGATTCATCTTTGAAGATAAAATGTAGTAACCATTGCCATTGAAGCTAACCTTTTGCTTTTATTCCATCCTTGTCAATTATATGTTAAGAATTGACATGTACAAACCATAAAACAATGTTGGAGTGAAAAAATTGCAGCATGACTCGACACAAAGCCTTATGCATCGACACATACTGCTATACAGGCCCAAAACAGAAGGAAAAAAGGGTGTATGAGTTGACACATACAATTATGCATCGACTCATACTGAGTTGATTTGGTGTTGCAGGGGCAAGGGAAGTTTATGTGTCGATGCATATAAGCATGTGTTGAAACATAATGTTAAAAAATTGATTTTTCCTCTCTTTTACACTGTTTTTACATATTTCACATATTTTCTTCATAGATATTCAATATGGTTGTAATATTTAAGCTCCTATATCACCCCCATTTGTAAATTGTACCCCCATCCCCTAAACGATGTAATAGCGTAGGATTTTAATTTCCGCAAGTTTATCATTTTCATATAATTACTAGTAACTAGGGAGTGTATGGCAAGACTAAAATTAATCCTTAGACACCCTAATCCAAGACAAAACAATACATGCAATCAAACACACTTTTCACACAAGTAACTCTAGGGTAACCTCGCTCGTTGCCTCTATAATTAGTCATGTCCCTCGAATATGGGCACTTTAGCAAAGACCCTGGATAAAAACGATCGTAGTCCCTCGATGTACTTCGATGTTGCCTTCGGTAAACGATCTAGTCCCTTACGAAAATTGCTAAAGCGTCTCATAAGTTGCTTTCAATGACTATACGACAAACCACTCTCATACCTTTACATCCAAAGGTAGAGCTTCTTACCAATCAATGGTAAGATAGCAATGTTAAAGGAAGAGAGAAACGAACAAAAGACTTTTGAGTAGGTAGAATATTCTTAGTTGCTTGCTCACAATCCATCTTCAAAACAAACATTTTTCAAAACATACCAAACACTTTCAAAACATGAAATATTTTCAAAAAGTCCAACACTTTGTATGCATTCTTATAGTGACGAGAATAATTACAAAGTTTACCTAAACGAAGGCGCCTTTCAAAAATACTTTCAAAACCCACCACAAACACATTTCAAACAAAGCAATTTCAAAAGTGATCTAGCAAGCAACTAAGAGCCCATAGATAACTATGGATGAAAAGGGTGCTAACACCTTCCCTTTTTATAACCTACCCCCCGAACTCAAGAAAATATCTCAAAGGTCTTTCCTGTTCTTTTCACCCTTTCCTTATTGGATAAAAGAAAATTCGGTGGCGACTCTTGCTATCCGCAACAATTACGATCAAACTTAAAATAACCAATTCAGTTCTCCCACTGTATTGCACTACCATATAGTATTCATCTCTACTTGGTGATAAATAAATCATTCATATTCTTTTTTATCTCTCAGAAATTTCATAAAATGTACTTTCTATAGATCCCCAACGACCAATCCTTGCGTGCATTGCCAAGGATCCAATAAGCCTGACATTGATTCCTTCAGAGGTGTCAATTGGACAAATGTGTCCATAGTGACTAGGATGGATATCCCGAATCTGAAAACTATTAGTTTTCCCCTTCTATCCTCTAGGACCCAAATAACTTAATTTCCTTCCATGAACTATTTGGGTCAATGGATTGGTTTGATCTAAAACTTGAGATAATGGATGTAATCCAAAAAAAAATATTCATAAGTGGTTGTTAATGGCATTGAAGTCACTAAATTTTAAGGAGTCAGTATCAATTTATATCTAATTGCTTCACATATAGTTCCTCTATTTATATTTCCTAAATGAACGAGAGCCAATCCAAATTGATCTTCTAAGAGATCTGCTACGAAATGAATATGTTTATTTTTCAAATGATTCATATCGTCAAGTGTACCCATTCCAAATTTGATTCGAATCAAATGATCTGCAACTGTCAATACATCTAGAGGTAACAAAAGTGTATTGTTCTCGGGTATATCAATATTCAGCCTTCGACTCATATTTCACCGCCCAATTCCTCCTAATTAACCTCTTTGTTGAAAAAAATTGTAATTCCGTACATAAAGATTCAGGAAATATGGGATCTCCGCCTACACAAGTAAATTATCGATAAAACTCCAAAATGGCATTTTCTTTTGACCTTAGTTTTCCCTCCTTTTCATTGAGGAAAGAAAAGAAAATTTTGGGGTAACAAACATTCTCAAGAATTTCACTTAAATTCAAACACATAGCTGATGATAGAACTAGAATAGATAATTTATGTTTCCTACTTACACGAGCCCATATCCTTGCTTTTCTATCAATTTCTAACTCTAATATTCCTCCCCAATCTTATATTATTATGCCAGTATAGACTAAAATTTTGTTATGGTCCAATTCTAACCGATAACAGATACGGGGCTTTGCAATATTTGATTGATTGAAATTTTGTATATTCCATTTACTATAAAAGTTCACAGGGAATCCATTAGAGGAATGTTTCCAATAAAAATAATTTATTCTTGGATATCCCGAATGTTTTTCCAAATTAATCTCGCGGATATATATAATTCAGAGGAATATGTAAGTGATTCATATAGATCATCTTTTTCTTTTATTGAGGGTTCTACCAATTGATATGTTTATGCAAATAACTAAAATTGAATTTCTTGATCTGTATCTTCAATTTTTGGAAACTTAAAAAGTTCTTCTGTTAAGCCCCGATCAATCAATCTACAAAACCATTCAAGTTGTATTTGATTCAATCCGGGTAGTGTAGATATTCCTTAATTCCCAATCCCAAGCATTTTTTTATCACCCCTTTTATTTTATTGAAAATATCCCATGGTTTACTGTCATTCTTCATTGAATCACATGAATAAATTTAGCAATAATGGAATTCATGTTCTTTTTACTTTACTGAATCACATGAAATTTCACCTCACTACGTCTATGAAATACGCATTATGAAAAGAGGAATTTTTCTACTCAAATTAGAATTTGCAACAAAACAAACAAATAGACTTTTAGTAGAGTATGATATTACATATTCCAATTCGATTGATACCTCAAAAATTAATTTAGGATTTGATTGGCTCCACGAGAGAAAGATTTAAATAATAAAATAATCAGAAAAAATTTACAATTTTTTTGAGCCCTTTACCATTTCAAGTGTTCAAAAAATAATGAAAGTTAACAAATAAGAAAGATATTTTGACCCTTTTTTTAGAATGAGAGGATTGTCGTGCATAAAAAGACTTGGATTTAAGCAACATGCATAGATCTAACCTCAACTATAGCTATCTATATATGTCTATTACGTTATTGCAGTCCTATTTGTTCGGGACAGAATATGTTGTGTTCATTTTTTTCTATTCATTCATCAATTTATTTCATGAAAAATTGGCAAAAAAATGAAAGTACGAGAATTTATTTAAAATTCCCTGTAATCTATAATTACATAGAAAATACCCAATTATATAATGTCTAACCATGAAAAGTGATATTATGGGGTTGACATATATTAACAGTTCCTGTTATAATGGAAATAGATAAGGATTATAAAAAAATATATAATAATAATATTGATTTGTTATGTATCAATTTCGATTTTTTTCTCATTAAGAAATTCAGATTCCTGAATTCTTCCGGAATTTGTAGTTAACAGTTACTATTTGTCCCGAAATTTGTACTTTTTTTACTTAAAAGGTATACATTGGTCTTTTTGAGAGGAGGATATTATGATCTATTTTTTTGTATCATTTTGGCGGGATGGTCGAGTGGTAAGGCGGGGGACTGCAAATCCTTTTTCCCCAGTTCAAATTCGGGTGTAGCCTGATCCGCAGGAGAATCGAAAAGTGTTTCTTCCATTTTGTTGATACAGAAACTTAGTATTTTTTCCATGTGGAAGCAAGTGTAGGGGAAGAGTTCTTGAGACTTGTTTGATTCAAAATTCTATGTATCACTAGATTTGTTCTCTAAAATTCTTTAAATCTTTGCGTCTCAGATTCAAGGAAAAGTTAATTAGATTAGGGAAATAAAAAAGAATAGATCAATCTTGAAATGAAAGTCTTTTCACTCTACTACTATTGTAGTGTTCGTCTACATATTGGGTCTTGAATTAGATTGGATAAGGATAGGTAAGACAAGGAATATAATTCCATTTTTAGTTGGCAAAGGGATTGAAGAAAAACCGTCTATACAAACTTATGTAAAATATATGAACGCTTCTTCATTTTTTCTCCATATTTGTTAGATTAATGAAATTTAATATCTAATTCGATTTCTTTTTTTATTTAATTTAATGATATTCTTTTTTTTACTATGAATTTCATTTCATTTCATCCAATTCAAAAAAATTCATTTGATTTCATTTCCATTCTAAGAAAAATAAACTCTTTCTTTTGGGTAATCGATAGTAAAAGACTTTAATAGGTTGTTTTCCAACAGTTTTAGAGAACGAATCAAGATATAATAAGGATTAGATCAAATTGAACTAAGAGATGCAAAGGAATCTATCTTGATTCTTTATTTTTTACTTAAATAAAATGAAATGGGTGGGAGGGAGGGGGGATATAAAAAATAGGTCTTTGTATTCCAACCTATTAATATGATTCATTACCTTACTACTTCTAAGTATATTTTTTATTTATGCTGAATATTTATCAATTCTAATCTGAATCTGATAAGAACTTGCTAGATGTTCTAATTGGATGTTTCATCAATGGTGTTATGACGGAATTGAATACTTTTTTGACTATGTACTAGCGATTCAACTATTATTATAAGATATTATCAAATTTTTAATGAAAAATAAAAACAAAAAGAATATAAGAAAAATTAGTAAACAATAAAAAAATAGTTGATAAAAGAATTTCTTCATATTGATATAGATAGGAGACATAATTTACATGGATATAATAAGTCTTGCTTGGGTTGTGTAATACGGTGGGAGAACTGACTTGGTTGTTCTGCGTTTGATCGCAATTGTTGCAAGTGTGCAAGTGTTTATTTTTTATGCATTGTTTTGTCTTGGATTAGGATTGTCTAAGATTGATTTTTATCTTGCCATAAACACCCTAGTTACTAGAAGTTGTATTTGAAAGCGGTAAATTGCGGAAAATAAAGTCTTATGTTATTACATTGTTTAGGGGGATTGGGTACAATTTACAAATAGGGATGAATATGAGCTTAAATATTACAACCATATTGAATAGCTTTGAAGAAAATATATGAAACATGTAAAAATATAGGAAAATGAAAGAAAAATTCATTTTTGAACATTATGTGTTGACACATGCTCTTTTGCACCGACACATAACCTTCCCTTGCCCCTGTATTGCCAAATCAACTCAGTATGAGTCGATACATAATGGTATGTGTCGACTCATACACTACAAGTATCGACTCATATGTGCTTTGTGTCGACTCATACGCTTTGTTTTACTTCTGTTTTGGGCCTGTATAGCAGTATGTGTCGACTCATAAAGCTACATGTCGAGTCATAACCTGTTTTTCCACTAAGATGTGTCGACTCATACAGGTATGTGTCGACTCATACTGTCATTTTTTTACTTCAACATTGTTTTGCTGCATACATGGGTTAATTATCAACATATAAATTAAAAGAATGGAAGACAAACAAAGGGTTAGCTTCAAGGGAAATGGTCACTACATTTTATATTCAAAAATGAATCACTAATGATACTTGAAATGAAGAGTTTAAAGTCACGAAGACTTACCTTGGAGTTGGAATTTATGTTTTGAGCTTGAGTTGCTGCCTTGAGTATTCTTTGAGATTGGAAAAATAGAGGTCTTACAGAAGCTTGCTCTTGAGTTTTAACAACTTCTATATGATGTATGTGGGGTGCTTAGATGTTTGGACAGAACTTGCAAAGTATGTAGAGTTCTAGGATTTGGATTTCAAAACTCAAGAGTGGAAGCTTTGTGGACTGTTATGGCTTTTGTGAATATGAGATTTTGAGGGTTTATCAACAAAACTCCTGGATTTTCTCTCTATTTTTCTGACCTCTTTGTCTTGCAAATTCTCCCTCTATTTATAGGAAAAGGGATTTTGAACGAGCTGATTTGGTTTACAAACTATGGAGTTATGGCTAGGTTGGATTACAAACATCAAGTTATGTCATAGTCCCAAGATAAAGTACAAAAGTTGCTGGTTTAGAGAGGCTAATTTCCATGATTTATGGTGGAGTAAAATCTGAAACAAACAAAGTATGGACTCAAGACAAACTTTGTACAAAAAACTTGCTTTTCAAGAATAACAATGGTGCCTTTATGCCATAAATGGAAAGATCTTTTGAACAATGGCTTAAACACTTGTGTAATAGCTCAAGAGTGGGTGTCAGCATTAAATTATGGTGATATTGGCAAGTAAGAAGGCCTGTGATACTAAACAATTGACTAATGAAATTATGAAGACACTCTTCAGAACATACACTTGATTATGCTTCACAGCTTTTAATCAAGTAACACAAACACTCGTGCTTCAAAGCTTTGAGTGATACATAAACCTAACTTGACCTTGCTTCAAAGCTTTAATCAAGTGACACAAACACTCGTGCTTCAAAGCTTTGAGTGATACACAACCCTTACAATAAAAAACCTACTCCAAGTCACTTATCACAATGATACTTGCTTGGATTACAGTAGTTAAAACTATACATCCCCTTGTTGATCTTCTGTCTTCAAAAGTATTCTTCATCAACAGCCTTCCTGTTGAATATATAGGCAGATGTTCTTCAGTTAGGGCTTCCACGAAAATAGCTAGGGTTAATTAGGGTTAATCCTCAAGACTTGGTCACAAGACTTTATCAACCAGATTAGGGTTAAGCCAAGTTAACCTAAAGTCCATGTGAGATTCTGTTTTGGAATGTATGAGCCATATTCCTGAAAAATCTTAGAATTAACAAAACTGCCTAACTGTTAGATCAGTACAGGATGTCTTAACATTGGTTATGACAACAAGAATCCTGTTTACTGATTTTGGTAGAATGTAATAAAA